GAAAGAGGTAGAAGCAATTTCTGGATACAACCTTTTCCTAGATTTTGTTTTCTATGAGGGTTGGGAAGTAAGCTGGCTTTTATATGCAGCATTCTGACCTGGATTACCAGGAGGGATTAGGCTTTGCTGTTCTGTGGTGTTAGACTTGATGAAACACTGCATGGAAAGTCATGGAGCAGGTGGAGAGTAGTGCTAATCCTTCTTGCCATAATGGTTTGTATGACACCGAGTATGCAAAAAGCAGACAGATTGGTGGTAGAGTGTAAGAAATGCAGCATTTCCACTGATCTAAGATAGAGCTTCAATCCAAAAGGCTGCTTCACACATGTTTTTTCCAGCCTTTTGAAATTTTACGTGCCTAAGATATTTCTGCACTGGTGACAATGCATTGCTTTGCCCTCATTGATGCAGGAGTGTGAGTAATCTGCTGGGGAGCCATATGGTTCACATTTATTTTAATGTGTCTTTGACATCAGGAGAATAGCTGAGACAGCAGAAGAAAGTGCTTATGTCTTGGAGTTCAGCCAGAACTGAGATCATTTAAGTTTTGTAATCAAAGAACTACCAGTTTTCTGGGTAAAAAATGTTAGAAAATCATGATGAGCTTAAAATGTCATTGCTATCAGGATTGTATAAAAATAGGAAGCAGATTTTGCATTTGATGGATGAACACAGCTTCAGCGGGTGCTTTTCTCAGGGGGAGGTTTGGATTCTGTTTCAGCCACTAAATATGCAGAAGGAAGGGCTGCATCTTCCACAGGTTTCTCACTGCTGTAGCTCCAGTGCCCAGCTTGGAAAATGAGGATGTTGAAAGGCAAATGGACAGTGCTGATGCACAGTGCCTTGGACATATGAGAGCAAGTCAGGAAAGCTTTGCTTCAGTCTGCCAGCCTATTACTGCTCTTGCTTTCCTATTGCATTAGTTATAATTTATTCATATACAAATGAAACTTGGGTGATTCTTTTAAGCATAGGTTGGATTGCTAGTGGAAATACTGATTTTCCCCTTTAGAAAGGGGAAAATTTTTTCATGGGATTTGTGAGTTGGGTGGGCCAATGATGACATCTGTTACCAAGATACAAGAAATAAATGATGACTAAGTATGATAAAACCTGATTTTTTTCAAATTTTCAGTAAATGTTACTAGGTGTATATTCATGCTTTCTAACAGATCAGAACATACATATTTTGTGTGTTCTTCTGCTCTGTCTTGAGTTAAACAGTGCCCTTAGCAGTGATTCCAGCAGATTGAACATACTGTGTAAGGTACAGTGCATGCAAAATAACAAATGCCCCAGACTCTTGATAAGGTGGTAGTTCTGTTTTGGTTGGTTTGAAGTAAAGGGTTTGAATCAGTTATAGAGCACTTTGTCCCTGACATTGGAAAGTGTTCAACATTTCCATTCAATATTTAATAGTATTTTTGAGCTCACATCAAGGCAGCCCTCTGCTCAGAGATTTTTAGGAAGTGTAATAGAGCAGGAACACAGTGCTTTGCAGTGCTGATTGTGCTTCTTTCTGTGCCCTTGGTAGCTGAGGTGGTCACAATTCTCATGTCTCCTCACTGACATTCTAATCTGTGCTTTTGACTAATCAAATACAATCCTGTAAACTCCTGCAGCTCCTGCCAGATCTATTCTTGTAAACAAAATTCACATAAATATGAATATATTCTAACTCCTCCCGAGCATTCAGGAGACGGCTGTGGAGTTCTTCATAGGGCCTTAACTCTGCCCTTTAAGGAACTCTACCAAAAGATAGGATGTGTTCCAGAAAAAGTAATCCCATGTATTCTGAGGGCTCTGAATGTTTACACACGTGTTTAATAACAGACTGTTGTATAATTTGTCTGACTCAGAATTACAATGTTCATAAATAACAGCACAAACTTCAATGGCATTTACAACAAATGTGTCAGCTCTCTCATTGTCTTCATACACATCTTCAATCTAGTGCTGACTTTACAGTGCCAGTGACACTGAAGTTACCATGTGTCAACATTTTCATGAAGTTCATCTTAATTCTGACAGTTTTAATCAGTGACATATCAAAAAAACCCCACAAACAAACAACTTTGATGGTGTGGCATTGACAATTCAATTACTGAAACTGATAAGAACTATAAAAAAATTGAAGATATGCATTAATGGGTTCTTTAAGACAGCCATGACATCTGTAGTCAAAACTGAGAGACTGCTGACCGAAGTATTAGGCATAAATGTATGGCAGTGCATGAAATTCATGTTCTGAATTTTGATGCACACACATGGGCAAAAATGCACATAGTGTAAAAGCTCATTCATGATTATCTAGTTTTTATCAGAGATGATTTTTTTTTTTTCATCTGGAAGTAACTAGATCACATACTCTTCTGCTTAGCTTCATTTAGCTATTAATGTTAGCGTGTAGTGTGTGAATACAACCTAAGGGTCATTATTTATGTTTAGTCATTAGTATGAAAGTAGTATCTGTACCATAAAAAGATTGAGACTTGAAAAAACAGAAGTGCTTTTATTGCAGCATTTGTCATTCCTGCCAGTAAAGCAGCCCTGTCAGGAGTTCCACAGCTAAGATCTAAACCAGATTACTATCAGACCTTGTGTCATAGATACTCAGGTTTACAGATGAGGATTCAAAGGTTTGTGTGATTCTCTAACTTGTGAGATTCACAGGTGCAGTTACCTTTGATTTCTTCATGAAATGTATGTGTATTTTTTTTTTCAAGAGCAACTTTCCTTTTCTTTCTTTGAGTATTTTGCAATAGTATTATTTCTCATTTGTGACTGGTTCATTTATTTGGCAAAAAAGCTGCCTGCCTTTCCATAGCTGCCAGTATTTATTCTGAAATAGAGGCATCATCCAGTCGAGATCCAAATAACATTGATACTGATATCAGAAATTGGATACACCCCAGAATGGTTTAGATACCTCATTCAGCAGAAAAAGGGTTTTTTAATAGGCACTTTCTTATGTATTAGAGCATATTGCCAGTGCAGGTTCTGATTTAGTGTATTTGCTTTTATGCTACATTGAAAGAGAATGTTTCAGTATGAAAATTACCCCATCCTACAAATGCTTAGAAATTGGTTTTTTTAAAGGCAGTTTTGTTTTGGAACTGTGGTATGTATGAAAAAGAACAACACATTAAAGCCATATTTAATATCATGCAAAATTGACACATCCCTATCAGCTAGTCTGCTAATGAAATACCCTCTTCCCTCACTAAAGGCTTCCTATAAATATTTTTGACAAGCTCTGTTGATAGGAGATTTGCTTCAAATTTGATGCAAGTTAAAGATGCCTAATGTAACAGAATTTGTCTTTTGATTTCTCTTTGTACATGCTACACCTTTTTTTTTGTAACACACTTTGCTAGCAGCATGTGAGTCACAGGACCTGATCATATTTATCTGTTTTATATTTATAATCCAGCACACCTGCAGGAGGTCTGTTATTTATATAGCAAACCATATACTTTACCATACTTTGAGCAGCTTATTAGTATTTAGGAGAAGTAATCCTTTTTCAGTGAGCCACAAAGTTCAGTGATAATGTCTGTAGGACACACTGTCTGTAATTTGGATACAGAGCTTTATTTTCTAATATACTTGGTTTTCCCACAGTTTGGTAGATGATGCTGGGTGTTTTGACAGTTTTACTTCATGTAGAAGTTTGTGGATTTACGTTTGTGGTGATTAACATTTCACAACCAGTAATGGAGGCTGAACTGTGTTTTACCTGTGACAAGAAACCAGACCTGTTACAAAACCAGACCTGAAGGCCAAGTGGGTCCCATCTCTGGAAATGGTGGAATTCTAGATTATCAGTCTACATCTTGGTGTTCTTACTGCTTTTATAGAATGATTCCAAGCCATTCAAGAGTGGTCAGGCACCCTTTAAATCATTTTACTGCCTCAATTCTGGCAATGAGGCCTCTCATTCATACCTGCACACACCTGCAGTTGTTGCTTATAAACTGCAAAGCAATGACTTACAAGCTGCATTCTCAACAACCTGTTGCTATTTTGCAACAAATCAAATAAATTGGACTGCTCATCTTAAAAATCAAGGAGTGTCCCTTACCTTTCTCTAAGGTTTGTGTGTCTTTTTTTATTTCCTCTAATGGCATGCAGCTATTATCAGTGAGAAACAGTAGACCAGTATCATGGGAAGGAGTTGCTAAGTGTCTGTAGAATCAAAAGAAGAAGAATATTTAATAGTTAAAATCTGGCATTTTTTTTAAACACGTTTCATATGTTACTGCATACGTTTACTAAAAAACCTGAGCACAGGTATGAGTGGAATCAGAAGAGAGTTAGAAAATACTAGATTTAGTTTTTTATAAAAATTCTACACATTAGACTATATACACACACATGTATTCAGTGGATGGCAGCAGAAAGACAGATGAAGGTAAAGAAAAACAAAATCTGACTGCTAGTCAGAATTATTTCTATATCATTCAGTGGCGATGATGATGGTATGAATTTTTGAGACAGCATAAAATACTAAGCATACTGCTTTTATAGTTTCTCCAACATCAATTTCTCACAAATTAGGTAATTGGATATTCTGATCTTTTCTGTTATCGTGACCCTGTGCTGTAATGATGTGGATCTCTCCTGCCTTGTGCAACTTTGTTGGCAGGGGTTGGAAGAGTTACAAGTCATTGGATCACCATCTCTATGGTGACACTGAAGGAAGTTTCTTTTGCTGGGATTTGATTGCTTTCTTGGTAAAAGGATAAAACATTTTTGTGATGTGATAGGAAAGAAAAACTTTCCTGGCCAACTATTTCTCTTCTGAAGTAGACAATGGTGTTCATGACTGTAACAGCTTGTAGGGGCTTCTATTTCTAACGTTCCCTTCTTGTCCTTCTCACCTTGGAATACGGTGTCTGTGTAGCCAGGTATTGCCACTTGTGCAGTTCCCTTTGTCTGAACACATCTGCAGCCTCACTGGAGGTCAGCATTCACACTGAAATCTGCCTCTGTTCCAGCATCTTCAATCCTGAAGAGGGAGAAGCGTAAGAGAACAAAGAATGTCCACTTCAACTGTGTCACTGTGTATTACTTCACGAGAAGGCAAGGCTTCACCAGCGTTCCCAGCCAGGGAGGGAGCACGCTGGGAATGTCCACGCGCCACAACAGCGTGCGCCAGTACACCCTGGGGGAGTTTGCCATGGAACAGGAGAGGCTCCACCGAGAGATGCTGAGAGAGCACCTAAGGGAGGAAAAACTCAATTCTCTGAAGTTAAAGGTAAAGCTTCTCTAAGACTTTGATCTCTGCCCTAATTTAACTGAACAGTGTCAGGGCTATAGGGGCCCAAGGTATGTGTGTTAAACAAAACAATCACCTCCTATGAGCTCCATTTTCAATATGAAATAGATGTTTTCCTGGAGTTTTCTAATTTTACTGAAGATGCATTTTTGTTTGATTATACGGAGTGCTCTTGTAGTTGTCACTGCTGTGTTCCTCCAAGTGCTTACAGGGAGGTTGTTCTTTACTCCCTGTTTTCTGCAGAGAGTTAGCCTTGAAAAAGGTGTCCAGCAGAAGTCTGGAAGTGCCAGGAAGAGAATGAGTCTTCTAACTTCTGGTTTTTTGTGTCATGGATTGCATTGCATGTATTTTTGACTCTTTTTCAGATGAATCCTGTAATTAAAAGTGAACAATATTTAGAATTGTAACTGAGCTTTTTTCAGTTTTCTAACTGTTTGGGGTTTTTTCATAACTAAATAGATTCTTAAATAAATTCATAAGGTCATAAAATCTGAACTGTCATAGAACAAATATAAAACCACTCAGGATGAAGGTGAATCACAGACAGGTATTTGGACAGGTTGGAAACCAAAGGCTAGTAGAGTGCTAGTGATTTATCCCTTGATAGAGGTTATACCTGTAACATCTCACATCACAGGATTTTCAGAGCATCAAGTGTGAATTGTGCTGTGTAACTGATGACTAGCTGTAGATCCCTTGGCTGACTTCCAGGAATCAGCTCAAAGAGAGGAATCCCCAGTGGAGTGAGTAAAGAATAGTCAAGCACACAAATATCTCACTTTTCTTAGCAAGAAAATAAAGCCAGAAAAATCACAGATCTTATTTACCTTGAAAGAGTAGATGAGGCCATTTAGCCTTTATGCACTGGAGCTTGGCTCTTCATCCTTTCCTAATCCTGCTCTTGGCTGGGATGTATCTCCTTTCTTAATTAACTCATTTCGTTTCCACCCAGTCTGTTTTGGGGACACAGACCATACTTTCTGCTTATTTTCCAAATACATGTTTTTCCATCTTCCCAGCCACTTGAGTGGATGATTATTAAGATTGTTAAGTTTCTGCAAAAATCTCTTCATAAATATGGAGTGAATAAGGAGAGCCTTATTTGCATTCCTTATTTTCGTCTTACTGGTGTTAAATTTTTTACCAGAGTGAAATATTCCTATTCATCTGGAGCATGTATAAAAACATTGGCAACAAAAATCTTCCTGTTTAACTAGTCCATTAACCTCAGTTTAGTTGCATCCCTGATTATGTGCTTGGGTTAAAAAAAAAAAAAAAGAAAATTTCAAACATGAAAAGAAAATCCAGGACTTGCTGAATTAGTGAAGAGTCACTGTAAAGCACTGAGCATGTTTTGTTTACTTAAGAAAACAGGGCCTTGCTGATTTTTTATTACAGAGATGGAAGAGCTTCTTGGTCATTCACATAGTTTCTAAATGAATAAAAAAGGAAATGTGGCATTCTAAGGTGACAGTGTTAGCAGTTATGTCAGCAAAACTATTATTCATTTAATGAAAATGTGCTAATCACACTTGCATAAAAAAATGACATCACAGAAAAATAAAGAAAATGAGAAAATGGATAGAATGAAGTTTGGTCAGAGGTTTTTCTATTTGAAAACCATTATGTAAATAGAAAGTAATATTTTTGGTGTGGTTTTTAATTTCAGTTTCTCTGGGATTTTTTTTTTTTGAATTGCATGAAAATATACAAATTGGTGAGTAGAAATTATTTGCTCCTGTAGAACCTGTTAAAAAAAGATAAAAATACAGGAATATATTGAAATTGAATTTCCATAATATTAGATACTGTTTTTGTTGCTAAAAGCAAAAGGCCAAATAAGAAACATCTCTAACTAAAAGCAGATAAAGGCTGTGAAATCATCTTCAAGTCACTTTGGCCATTTAGTACCAGCACTTTGATGAAAACACTGCTGACAGGAGCATAAACACTTATTAGCAGCAGAGTGTGAAAATTCTGGATGTGAAAGCCATCTTATCAAATGAAAGGTACAAGATAATCATTTGAGAAAGCATGAGTAAGCACAAAAAATTGCCTAAGAGAGTCCTTACTCATAATGTCTCCTGAAATTAACATTATTAGCATGAAACCAGTTGTGTAAGGCTGCCTGGTCTGTGGACACAGTAGGTTCCCTTTGTGGGAAGTTGTAAGGAATAACTTCCAACTAGGGCAAGGCAGAGATGTCCATCCTACATTTTTCCTGTTTTACTGAGTGGGACTGAATTTCACCCAACGGCTTCACATATTCATTGGCCTTTGTTCTGTGGTCATGACATTAACCTTTAGATTTATGAGGAAATTTACCCATCTACTATCAAGTTTAATTCAGATGAGCAATATTATGACAATCAAGAGAGCTTAATGTTCCCCTGAAGTTCTGGAAAATGTATTTGGTAGTTTTTGATAATCTTCCTCCTTCTGTAGTTACCCAGTTACTTTTTTGAGAAATGTTAGACTCTTTCCTTTTATTAATTCATTTGTTCTTTGTGTGGCAAAATGGAGGAAAAAAAAAAGAGGCGACAAGAAGGAAATCATCCTGCAAAGGAGTCAGGAGCTGAGGTGCTTTGCAAAGGCAATCTGCTGTCTGATGGCACATGTGGGATGTTCCAGCCTGCGGGATGCACGTGGCATTCAGCACATCCCTGCAGGCCAGGCCCTGATGCTCCACTGCTGTGCAGCAAAGTAGTTAAGGTTTGCAGGAGGAGGAGAAATACATGCCAGGGGTGGAATGGTTCTGTAGGTGCCTTTGTGTGCTGGCCAGTTACAGCATTCACCTCATGGGTAAGAGCCCTAAAAGTTAATTTTTATTAAACAGTAATTGAATAAAATAGTAAATTAATTACAGGAGCAGGGATTAGAATTTTTTCTCCCTCCACAGTTTCAAACTTAGATTAAATAACAGTGATCTGCTTAAGGAATGGTTTGAGCCTTGTGTATATAAAACTAGAGAAATCAGATTTCTTAGATAGGTCATTCCCCTGTTGCATATTAAACAAACAAACAAAGAAATCAAAGAAACATAAATACACTCTACTTAGTGCTACCTTGCTAACGTAAAATGAAAAGATATAAGCAAGAATGCCATTCTGGACTGAAATATTCAGGCTGAGTTGTGTGTATGGTGAGGTATTAGCTTCAGGCAGCTAATTCAAGATGCATTTAATCCCTGTGTGGATTTACCTCTCTCTTGCTGTAGAGTGTACAGGAAAAAGGATGACTTCTAATGTTGCTTTTCCTACTTTACTGAACGAATATGTTGAAATACCTGGTGTAAATAATCTCCCCATTGTCCCAGGGCCAGGCAGAACTATTGAGGGAGCTATTACCCCCTCTTTTACCAGTGTAATGTGAAATGTGTAACAGAAAGTGGAGTAGTACATAAAATATACCATTTTACAAACCTGTGATGCATCATGATCTGAACCTATGTCAGTAGTATCATTGCTATCTCAAAAGGGATATTTAAGAATTTCAGAGAGCTCAGACAGGAATCAATTAAGGTCTCAAAAATTATCTTGTGAAGCAATACAGAAAAGACTAGATTTCAAAGTGGCATGAGATCTAGCAGCTAATGGCAAACAGTAAATTTAAGTAAATAAAGAACAGATAATTTCTTACCTTCATTACAAACTTGGTATTAAAAATGTGGTTTTAATTCATATTCTAAATGTGAAAGAAATGCTTGGTCACCCTATCTGTGATCATTTTCTGGAACTTCCTGGCAGTCATGCAGCATTTTTACATACAGCTTTTTGTCAATTGATAATGCATTTCACATATTGCCATCTATGACATGACGTGTGTGTGAGCATTGTTTAAGGACTTCGTTAATTGTTTTGTGCAACAGATGACCAAGAACGGTACGGTGGAATCTGAGGAAGCCAATACACTGACTCTGGATGACATTTCTGATGATGATATTGATCTAGACAACACTGAAGTAGATGAGTACTTCTTTCTCCAACCCCTGCCTACAAAAAAGCGGCGGGCACTGCTGCGAGCTTCTGGAGTGAAGAAGATTGACGTGGAAGAAAAGCACGAACTGCGAGCCATCCGCCTGTCCAGAGAGGATTGTGGCTGCGACTGCCGTGTGTTCTGTGACCCAGAAACTTGCACCTGCAGTCTTGCAGGCATAAAATGTCAGGTAAATGTCTACATTATTTTCATTATTTAATTGTCTGGGGAGGGGGAAGGTTGTGTGTCCATGCACGTGTGTGTACTTTCTGTTCTCAACATTATAACTATTGGAAATTAAGTATTAGGCAGTAACACTTGTGGATATCCAGCCTGTTTGTTAGTGCCCTGTTTTAAGGCTATATGGTGGGCAATCAGTACAATCTCCCAAAATATCTTCAGTATGATTTTAGGCACATACATGGCTTAGGGGATTTTTTTGTTCTTACACAAGTATTCTGCTCCACATACTCCTTTTAGGCCTTTATCTGAATAGGTAGATGCAGACAACAGAAGAATAAGTAGCCTGCAGATTTCAGAAGGGATATTACCTTTTATTTTAGAAGCAATTAGCAGACACTCCAAATGTGAATTATAGTCCAAACTCTGTGGGAAACAGTAAATGACATTCTGCGATGCTGTCCTTTATGTAACATGCATGATACTTAAAATCTGTGCATGATAAATTTGCATGTAGGCAGTAAAAAGGTATCTGCTAATATAGCAAGTTTTTCCTCTGCAGACTGAAGAGGTATTTCATACTGTACATTTGCATAGTGTCAGCTGTACATATCCCACAATGTTCCCTAAAAGATATTTCTGCTAGTTCTGCTGAATTGCTGTATTGCAGCTGAGTTTGCTTCCTGAAAGCATTTTTCACCATCTCATAAAGCCAAGCTAAACTTTCTCTGCTATTTAAAATAATATAGTCTCTTTGCTGTTCCTGTTTTCCTCTCCACATGTGGGGAAGATATACTGGATTGTTTTGTGTGGTTCTCCTGTGCATATTTGATGTTTAGGTGTTACAGTGCAGGTGAAAGTCACAGACCTTAGGCTGTCTAATCAAACTTGCCAACACATGGATTCAAAATTTTAAGATATTAGATGTAGAAGTTCTGTGCCTGGTCTGTTGAGTTTACAATATTGCATCTAGAATTGACTGGATTACCTTTGAAAATGCACTTGAGTATTTGTTCCTGTTTTATGAGATCAGGTGTCCCCATTGGTAATTTATAAAGGTTTCTGTACATCATTCATTTTGTTTCAATGGATGTCTAGTTTTCATGATTTTTACCAAATTTTAAGGTGTTTCTGGAAACACTTTTGCCTGGATTTGAGCACAAAATGAAGTAAAGCTATAGCAGATCAAGAAATTGAAAAGCTACCTATTTTTCTTCCACTATGTAATACTTTTACCTATGGAACAGAATCAGTTTTCCCTTCTCTGCGATAGTGGAGCATGTCCAGGCCCCTTACTGTTCTCTCAGTACTGCTAAACTCCAGGGCTGACTCCCTGAATGATTGTTAGCTTTGACTTATTCTACCAGCATTTCTCAAGGTGAATCCCACTTCACCTTTGTGTTTCTCTAGGCTGTCTAGGCTCTGTCATGTCACCAGGCTTTTGCTTCCTACTGTTAATCTGTATTCTCTTTTTTAAAAGGTGGATCGTATGTCTTTTCCATGTGGTTGCACTAAAGAAGGGTGTAGCAATACAGCAGGTAGAATCGAATTTAACCCTATCCGTGTACGGACTCACTTTTTGCACACGATAATGAAACTTGAATTGGAGAAAAATAGAGAGCAGCAAGTTCCAGCACTCAATGGCTGTCACACTGAGATAAGTGCACACAGTAGTTCCATGAGTCCAGGACCCCATCCAGTCGAATATTCGATTGCAGAAAATTTTGAGATTGAAACCGAACCCCCGGCTACAGTTATGCATTCCCAGTCAGCTGAGGACTTGGACTGCCCAGGGGAAGAGGAGGAAGAGGAAGATGGGAGTAGCTTTTGTAGTGGAGTTACAGATTCTAGTACACAGAGTTTAGCCCCTAGTGAATCAGATGATGACGAAGAGGAAGAGGAAGATGAGGAGGAAGATGAGGAGGAAGAAAAAGCAGATGATTTTGTAGAAAGTATGAGCTCCCATGCTGATATGGTGCCTCTTCCTTCTGTCCTTTGCTACTCTGATGGAACTGCTGTGCATGAAAACCACTCTAAAAATGCCTCATACTATACTAACTCTTCAACTCTGTATTACCAAATAGAGAACCACGTTGCTGGCACTGCTAACCAGATTGGTGACACTTACTCAGAAAGGGATGCTGTCAAGAATGGTAGTCTTTCTCTGGTGCCTTACAACATGACTTCAGAACAGTTTGTTGACTACACACGGCCATCAGAGGAAACTTTTAGCAGCCCTCATTACCCTTCTGCAAACCCCTCAGTGATTGTTTGCTGCTCATCTTCTGAAGGGGATGGCAGTGCTCCCTGTAACAGTTTATACACTGAGCATAGGCCGAGTCACCCACCAGTGGAATTTCACTCATACTTGAAAGGTCCTTCTCAAGATGGCTTTGTCTCAGCTTTGAATGGTGACAGTCATGTGCAGGAACACCCTGCTGAGAATTCACTAAACCTCCCGGAGAAGAGCAGACTGCACGAAGAGTGCATCAAATCACCAGTGGTAGAGACGGTGCCTGTTTAAATTTAAATTATTCTAGGACTAGACTTCCTGTGTTAAAATTCACTCCCACTGGATTTTCCTAGAAACTTACTTTTTTAAGAGGTAGATGATACTTGGACTATAGTCAATGTTCCAGACACATTTTGTTTTCTCAAGCTACACTGGCAGTGGTATTGCACAAAACCAGTTCATGTAAAGATTTAAATAAAAATAATCAACCCATTTTTTTGATAAAAATAAACAGATAAGTAAAAAACACATCCAACATATTTCAAAGTAGCCTACCTATGAACGTATGTGAAACCTGCCAAGGTATCTGAATCAAAACTTCCATGTTTTTGACTGTCGGGCCTGTGCAAGATTGTTAAAAATGATACTTTGAAATAATCATGTTTAGAGTCCTAATTTTCAACATATCTGAAAAGATGGTAAGTTTAATGTAAAAATAACTACTGTACAAAAAAAAAGTTTTAATTGTTCTGTACTGTTTGTATTTTATTTATGGTAGTTAAAGATTCATGTTTTGATAAAAATGAACAGCATGTTCATTTGAGCAGAAGATCCATACAAAGAGCATGGCCACTTTTCATCTGGAGTACCTTGTATTCTTCCTTATTTTTTCCTAATACTATTTCTGATAAATCATCTTGAAACATTTTTAGAGTGTACTATTTTTCTCTTTTACTGTTCTTGACAAACAGAAGAGTCAGAAAGGGGGCATTTACATCTAGAATAGAGAAAGGTAGACAATCCTCGATTTAAAACTAAAATCAGTGGCATTCCAGAGCTAGTACCCCATCCCCAAAGAAGAATGATCTTGTATATAATGGCAAAGCAGTAGCTTAAGCTCACACAGCACCTTCAGGCCAGCCACCGTTCAGATCCTTACGCACTTTAGTGCCACTTTGCAGTACTGTACGAACTGCGGGAACTGTGAACCTCTTCCGAGAAATGCCATAGCTCCAGACCCTGAGGCAATGTAAGGTCTTAACATTCACTGTAACAAAACCTGTACGTTTCTCCCAAGCCAGTTTATGAATATGTCAGTATGCAATTTATAAAAGCAGAGCCTTACTGATCAAAGTTTAAATAAAGCATGGGGAAAAATGTGGAAGTGTCTAGATTGCCTAAATTTTTATGATACACAAGACTGGCTTTTGTGAACTTCTGATTGTATCTCAAATTTAGTACCATTTGGTCTTATTAGGAAACAGTCCATTCAGTGAGGAAAAAATAGCTTCAGAAATTTTGTATCTGCAAAAGTCTGCAAGCAAAAGAACATGTGCATCATATGGATATCCATTACATTGTGATCCGCTTGTTTTTAAATGGAATGGGAATGAAACTATCTTTAATTTATTAAACAACCTTGCTTTTGTTTAGAAAAGGAGGCATAGGAATCTGCTTTTCTCTGCACTGGTAATTCTGCACTGCCTTATTTTGATTTCAAAATATATTTCAGCATTTTTGTTCTTCTAATACTGAGATTTCATTTATTATACATCAAGTAGTTGAAATGTAGGCCTGTCTTGTTTGTCAAAATACAGATCAGCATTTTAGTTTTTATCTGTGTCAAATCTAGGTGGTTAACAGTGTGCATGTAAACACAGTGTAAATTTTATCTCTGTAACAGTGATTCTTCTGGTTAGAAGCTCTTTAAAACATCATGTACAGTACTCCAGTAGAAGAACTGCCAATGTAAAATATGCTTTTCAAAAAAAGAGCTAACTTAATTGTTTTTATATGAAATCTGGGCAGAGTGATTCCTCGTATTTATGCTAAATTAGCAAAATATTTTTACTCCATGTAGTAGCTGGAAAGATTTTTTTATTTACTTGTTTCCACAAGAAGTCCTACATGTTTTCTATGAACTGCATTGAAAAGTCTAGTTCTCTAGGGACTGGATTCCAAACTTGCAACGTATTCCATCTCCTGGAGAGCGCACTCATGCTGGTTATCTGGCTCAGCACTTCCACAGCCTCTGTTCCTCGCAGTCACAGACCACTCTAGGCTCTTTCTCTAAGGCTGAGTAGCCAGGTAAGTGCCTGTGTTCTCCAATGCCATACAGCAAATACCCATGATTTTTAAAGAGAAATGCGCTAGTTCTTAAAGTTCTGCACTTAAGAATTAATTATTCTGTTCAAGATATTCTAAGGGCAAATATAACAAGTCTCTGTATATATTGGGGTCTTGCTTTAACAGCGGGCTTAAATTAGGCACTCCCTTAACACCAGCAACAAAAGCACAAATCTCTTTTGCTTGAGCTGGGACAGTAGATGAGGATCAGTAGCGGCTCTTTAACTTCAGAGTGTGTTGGAGAACCACACACTTTACTGAGGTATTTCTCTCAGGGGAAAGTTAAATTAAATCTTTTGCTTTGTTATTCGTGCCCTTACTGAGCAATAAGGAATTATTTTCTTGGCCCCTGTCCTTTCACATGAAAAATATCTTTAATAATATCAGCAAGCACAGTAAGTGATCAACTTTATAAAATACTTCTCAGCTAGCTTTAAATATTGAGGTGATGGTTATTTACTATTTCCATTGGCACAGATTTCTGATCTAGAGTAGGATGTAGAAATCAGGTGAGAGTCGAGTTTCCCGTCACTTGTTTAAACTTTGATTTATTTTTTAGAACAAAAAAGCATTCTCTTCATTTAAGGAAAAGCCAGGTTTAAGTCATGGGATGGAAAATATTTTCATGTTATTTTCTGGGCTAGTATATACATGTTTTAACATGCTGTGTCCCATTTCCCAGCTGGTTAAAATTCATGTTGATAACCAGTCCTTTCATTTTGGATAGGCTGTTTCTGTGTAATAAAAGTATTATGTTACTAAATGATATCCAGCAGTATTTGCTTCTGTATCAACATAGTATATTACTTGTGAAAATACCTATATTACTGATAGTCTTTATCAGCTTCATTTTCAAGATATCTAGCTACTGGGAAACACTCCTAAGAAGCCCAGTATATATTTGTGATTATATTGCATCATTCACAAAAATGAGTCATAACAAAGGTATTTCCCTTTCTTGAAAGAAACTGGAATTTTCACCGAGACCATGACTGGAACAGCACCTAAAAGCAGATGCCCTTTTGCCTATAAGGTGAACTTCACCTCTCTTGGAAAAAGGTGCATTGTTAAATATATATAATGCTTTAATTGATGTTAGACATGAAATTAGAATTTTGTTGACACTATTACAGCAATTGCAGTTGTTGCTTAAGAGCAACAACTCATGCCCATTGAAAGATCCTTAAAATTAAAAGCTGGTCAGGAGGAGCTTCTAATATTCTTTGTTGAGCTGTATGCCACTTAGATTAGAAAATTCTAGATTTGTAAAGCTTTACAATTTTTTATTTGCATAAGTTCCTGCTAGTGAATCATAATTGGAGTTGACATCTGTTTATTTTAAGGCCATTGGTTCCACTCCATAGTAACTATTACTTACAAGGTTCAGCTGCTCCCCTGCTCTGTTAACAGTGGGATCCTGCCTTTGGTCCAAGTGCTGCAGGACTCCTGTGTGGTATTAGTGGTGCTGTTACTCACTAGATTGCTGACTGATCCCAGGCCAGATCCGGTTTCTAACGTGATCTGGCTGTTTTATTTCAGTAAATATGCTAATAAACTGATCATGTTGCTTTCCCTGCCTCACAGGCAGTACCTTCACAAACACAGCTGCTTTGTTAAAGATTGTACACATATATTTGTATGCAAAACTGAGCATGTATAAAAGGTTTTATTAGTTCAGGTGTTCCTGACAGAAATGTGCTACACTGGATAGGGAGTACTGGGCTCAGACAGAGGAGACTTTGCCTTTGTCCTGTTGTGTCATCATGTTCTCTGTGCTCTGGTTTGTAATGTACTTGGAGATACTGTGATAAAACATAATTCTATAGTATAGAACAGGTAGAATGCCATTTTATTCTCATGTTTTGGCATCATAACTGAATTTTTGTACTGCAGACTGCCATTTTCCAAATTAAGCCCAGCCCAGCTCAGAAGTGACCAGAAATTTTTCACGAACATGAAAAATAGCTGAAATGAGCTCTCCTTTCCTTAGACTGGATTAATGAGCAGAAGTTAAAAAGTAAATTTCACAGTGAAAAATTGGACTAAAAGCTGTGTTGAATATACAACATTTTCCTGTCTAGTGCTTAACATTTGAGCAGCAAGATTGTAGTTTTCCTGCAACACCACACTTGGCAGCAACAAGCAGTCTTGCTCCTCTGCATTCTTTTGCCAGCTGAATTCTCTCAGTTGAAACTCCTTGTCTAGGTTGCTCCTGTAGCAATGCAGGTGTTCCTACTCAAACATAAAGCAAGACAGACCCATGATACCCTTTTAAAAGGCATTTGTTAAATAAGGGCACTGTTACAGCTGGTTAGTTTTATAAACTGATGTTCATTGTGGCAGTTGTTTTATTTCCTGAAACAGTCAGGAACAGAAGAGGATGATATGGAAAATCCTTAAGCATTTGGGGGTGTTAGGCTTTCCCGTTGAGACTAAAGAGTAATTCTGTCATCTGCTTTATTACAGTTGCAGGACAGTTGATGTAAAATACTTTGAAAATCTAGAATTAACTCAGAGAATATATTCTATAGAATTTATTTCTAAAATACTAAATGTGATTACTATTTTTTTAAAATGGTAGAAAGCTGTTATTTTCAAAACAGAGTCTAGTTCACTTACGTGTTCCTTGGTATGAAAAATCTCATCATTTGCCTTTTCAGTGTTTCAAAGTTTTTTTAATATTCCTAATTTTGCTATTCTCTGTAATCATTGTCCATGTGCAAACTATTGTCCATTTTCTCCAAGAAGTGTCAAATCCAAAGTACAAATACTGTGAAGTGAGGAAGAAGTGCAATGTAGTTTTAAAGATGTCTGAATGAACACACACTTGAGTTCTTCACAAGTTTTTCCTTTTCACTGTCTCTTCCCTCCCCTAAATCCAACACAGCTTTTAATTTTATGGCTAACAAGAGTATAGTTTCCACTTAAGGAGGAAAGTTGTGACATCTTTGAGAACTTTTCTGCTACCCTAATAGCTGATTTTACTTTATATGGATATCCACTTTATGAAACACCTGTTTTGCAGTCTTAGTAATTTCTTTTTAGTTCCTTCCTCCCTTCTGGTGTTTGGGAGGTCCATTGTACAGTAAGACTTTTCATTAAAATCAAGCAAAAGGGCAACTCTAATGTCCTTTGTGCTGAGAATGAGATCTTGAAAAGCCAGGTTGGGTGGGGTTTTGAACAACGTGATCTAGTGGCTGGCACTAGATGGTCTTTCAGATCCCTTCCTAACCAGGCCACTCCGTGATTCTAGAGTTAAAATATATGTTGCCCTACTGCTGTCTTTAAGGTTAGGCAGACACCCACCCCTCAGAAGGTTCCATTGACTGGAGAACCATATTCTTGGTGCTCTGTGTTGCACCTTCTCAATTGAGATCATAGTCCTTCATCCAAGGCTGCGGGTGCAACAAAAATAAATTCAAAAGGTACATTTTGTACTTTATTAACACAATTATTTTAATATGGAGCTTAGCAATGACACTTCTCTTTCTGAATGAATGTCCAGCAGACCCAAGTCAAAACAAAGTTTGTCTCTCATGTACGTTCTTCTCTAAGTTCACTTTTCCAACATACCATGAAGATTGGATTAGCTGTTCTTGATAGGGAAAATGGTGGAAGATACAAATGTGCATCATTGTTCTAATAAAAGGATCAAGATAATCCTTTGTCTTCAAACACTTGAGTGAGTGCAGGGAGGATAGAAAGAACAATTTAAAGGAAAAGAAAGATGAAGCCAAGAGGCAGATTGATACGGATTATTTTTCCTATTAAGGGAAAAATAAAGCATATTAGAAAAAAAACAATAGAAGGAAAAAGGTGAATTACAATCTCTTCCCAGCAAGGATGGTAAAGTATATAGACATTCACTACAAGCTTGCCCATGTTAGATTGAAATATTGTTTCTGTTATTTAATATATTGTAACCAAACATGAACTCAGTGGAAATAGGAACTGGCATTTTTTCCAGGCCAGAGTTATACAGGTGGCCATTAAATAAAAGACTTATCCAAATCCATGGGGTAAAAAAATGAAAAAGCAGCACCCTAGAAGCATTGCTACTATGTCACTTTTTGCTGATGGCAGTTTCAAAGACAAGTTCAAAATCATCTTAGTTAACTCTGCTCCCGGGCATCTATTCTTATATACCCAGTTTCTCAGCTAGCAAGAGATGCTAAAAGCAAAGGCAAAATGTCCTTTTATCAGCATTTTATCTTGGCATTTTCAAATGAGGCTTAGTACATTATGGCAGGTAATTATTTTAGGTTTCTCCACCTTAAACTTCTAAAATACATTCTTAAGAATGAAATTTTGGGTTGGATTTTGGATGAAGGTTAATCTTGCTGGGGTAATGGGGGAATCACTGTAAAGAACCATTTGTGAGTCTCAGATATAGATTCAGCACCAGTTTTCAGCTTCTTGAAAAGATCATGATGTGCACTGGCAGCTGGTTCTCTTAAAACCAGAAGCAAGCATGCTGGTTTTTTCCAAGCCATTTCACACAAATACCACAACTTCAGGTCTCAAATGCCCATGTAAACAAGGCTTAATAACTGGGCACTTCTTTTAACTGACTTGATTGTAGGCACTTCTATCGAAATATGTCTGAAGTGTAGTTTGTGAAATATGTTTAAAATGTGTTTGATGTCAAATAAGCGCTAGACATTTAACAGTGCAAAAATAGTCAAAAACTGTAGATTACAAAACTGTTCCTAAGATCCTCAGCCTGTAATATTGTCTTAGTAAAGTTGATCTTTTAAGTTACATTGCATTCTGGTATAATAACCTTTTACAAATAAAATTATTAATACAAATGTACTTGTTAATACCTGTTAACATAAAACATGGCAGTTGGTTCTTCTGATTTATTTCAATCTCCAACTAATAGAAATTTTGTAAAAAACACATTGCCTTTTATATGTTTAAAGTGTTTTGTTTTAACAGACTATATTAACATTCACACTGTCTAGTCCATCCCTGTCTTTTAGCAGGTTCATCTCTCTCTGTATATGTACATATATATATTTCCCCACAAGAATATAAAATTGCTTTTGAAATTTTTGTTGGCAAGTGGTAAATAGTACACCATGGCATAAACTCAAAAGCACTTAAGTTGATTGTCTTTCAGACAGGTAATCCATTCAAATGGGACTAGAAAAAAGGCATAATTGCAGCCATTAGTTTAAAATTTGTACATTACTTCTAACATTACTAATTTCTGAGAAAAATAATTGTTACGTACTTAACATTTTCCATTACAGATGATCTTGCATACTAAAATTATGGAGGTCTCAACAGTTAAGCAAGATATTTATTTGGACTGCTGCTTTTAAACTGTTTGAAGAAGCAAAGGGAAAGAAAGTTCATCTTAAAATCTGTATATGGAAATAATTTTAAGCTTCATGAACTACACATTTCCTTAATTTCCTTTTTTTAAACAAGTTGTAACATCAAAGATGCCAAAGGGTAATATAAGCTACAATAATATTCAACAGAACTTAACCTAGATCTTATGTTGTAATAATTTATTCAAATTAACTGTATTCTTCTGTATTTATATTTTCCGTATTTATTATGAATGATATGAAATTTGATGTATTTATTGTGGCTTATTACTGCAGTGTATATATTACAAAAATGAGCATTTTTAAGTCTTTAATATTAGTTTTTTTGTTATTTAGTGGCACTTGTATCAGCTGTATTTTTATTATATATTGTACAATATATATTGTCCATTTGTTTGCAATGAAGTAAACCAGGTTTCTACGTTACATCCTGGCTGCCAGTGCATTGTGCGTCTCATTTCTGCTCTGCAGTCACTGGGGAGCCTCTCTCAGCTAAGAGAGCTGGCATCAGTACTGCACCTCCTCCCTTACACCTGCAGAGCCTCCAAAGGCACTCTGTGAAATTTCAAGCATTTCTCCCATTCCTGATAGTCTGATAGAATAAGGAGAAGCAGTTTGTGTGGAATTTCTGTGTGTGTGTTCTTTTGTTTCTAAATATTTGTATGCCAATTAAATTAAATAAACAGAAATGCCTTCTTAGGTATATCAATTTGCCCTTTAATGATACTACTGCCTACAATTTTCTGTGGCCAGGGAAATACTGTACCTGATTCATAATAAGGTAATGAAACAATTGTTTTCAACAGCTGTTGGAATAAAATTTTGCAACAGCTCTCTCTGGTGGACAATTTGCAGTAATTTTACACATCAGATCATTTCAATGGCAGCATTCAAAGAATACTGCTACATTTCAGGACAACTGCTTATTTTGAAAATTGATGATCAACATAGCTTCATTAAGAAAATAATTAACAATCACAGCACAATCTCTGCTATCTTTTTATTCTGATATTTATTCCAACTGCGATTTATAAAAAGTAAGTTGTCCTTAAGTTTTCTTATCTGATAAATTACATAGAGCTAAAATGTTTGTATTAAAAAAAAAAAAAACAACCAAACTATAAAGATGAGAGGTTGTGCTCTAGATTATAAGAAAGTTCTCACAGGAATGAGGGTATCACTTGGTTGTAGTCTGTTGGGAGTCCATATTTGCTATTAGACTGCTTTTGGCATTGCTTTGAACTGTGGCTAAAAGGCTGCTCCAGGGCTTGCTAAGCCATACTGATACAATCAAACATAAAACATCTTTCAACACTGGTTCTAATTCAAGATCCCAGGATGCCCCTTCAGCAGTAGGAAGATTTAACTCTTAAGGTTCACCTGTAGGTCTGTTAATAGTACTCACGTTATTCTGTACTCACCTTAGAGTAAAGCAGCAATTACTCCCACGAGTGATAAAAAAAAATCCTCAGATATAGTGGTCTGGCAAATTCCCACTGCAGTGAAAGGTGTCATAACCAAGTGGAGCCACAACCAACCAGTAGGGACCTCTTGTTCACAGGCAGTGGCACCCAGAGCCACTGCCCCTAAAGTCCCAAAAGGTTTTGGACCTGCTTCGTCCTGCTGGGAGCGTGGCTCAACTGGCCTGGCCTGAAGTCAAGCCTTCTTCAGCACTTGGGATTACTCTCTGGATGTGTAAGAGAGCACAGTGAGATGGAGGTTATAACAGCTGTTCCAGTGACCTTCAGCAGTTTATACATCCATCTGATGGAAGTACCAATTTTTACATGCTGTATATGGAATACTATTCACCTTTGTCCCTTCATAGGGGCAGAGAAGACAGCTGACTTAAAAAACACCAAAAGACATAAAAGAGCCAGAGCACCCCCTGCAACAAACTCCTCTTCAGCAAGCCTTTCTAATTATTAAAAACTATTAGCCACTTTCAAGAGAACATTATCAACAGCCAGAAGATAATGCTGCTTTTTTATTAGCGAAAGAAACCCAAACCCAAAATCCAACTTCCTAAACCTCTAGTCACATTTACAGATCTCTTATTGGTGATGCCTATATATGTGTGTACACACACACACACACACACACACAAATATTTGGAAGTGTAATAGTCACTGTGACCTAAAAGTTAATTTCACATCTTCAAACAGAACAGAACAAAAAAAGTCATTTAAAATGTTCCTTTACTTATAGATCTGCTTCCCTCTTTTCTGGTAGGTTGTAGAGAGCCCAAGACAACTGGTGTACTAGGTACTGCAAAATACAGACTAAAATGTCACAGTTTAAGGAACTATGATAGTTAACTATGATAGTTAACATACAATAAAAAAATACTATATATAATATGTATTTTGTACTAGTGACCTATGTTAGACCAGAAAAGAAGTCTCAAAAAATGAAAGGAAAATCTTTAAAAGACCATTTTAAAATCACAGAATTAATTTCCCTTTCTATACCTAGAACTAAATACAAAATATAATAACTAGGTGAATTGCTATACCTAATCTCTGCAAAAAACCCCTACATATATTGCTATACCTGCAAAAAATCCAAAAACTACAAAGTGGAGCTTCTCTAGCATTGCTTAGGGAGAAGTTCCTACTTCCAAGTGCAACAGAACACTCGTTTCCTTGCAATTGAAGTTCTACCCTGGTTTGAAATGTTAGCTCTTAAAAAAAACCACAAACACAAACAAATGGCAAAAACCCAACTGATCATGTGTAGATAAATGATGTTTCATATGTGCACATCCCAATATGACAAGCTTCTAAGAGAAACAGGTCGCATGAAGAAATGATCCTTTAGTGATATTAAAAATAATGCATTTTCTCTATAACATGAACTGAGAAGTAAATGAACAAGAACTTTTAAACTGGTACACCAAATATCTCCTAGAACAGGTTCCTCAGACACTGAGTTTCCATTCCATACCAAAGGTTCAACACAGTTGCTCTCTGGGTAATCGCCCATCCTCTATTCATATTCCACAATTTTCTCATTGACCCGTGTTATATTTTTCCTCACCTCCCCCATTTTATCAAGTGTGTGTATTGGCCTTCAAATATTGGTTTGATCTGCAAAAGGAATAATACTTTACATTCCATTACCAAAGTAAAATATTTATCAGAGGATGCAGGCAGATCTTTGTTCAGTGTTGTTCTACACAACCTTCCAGTTTCAGTGGCATAAATAACCCTTCCTGGTACAGTCTTTTCAACAATTTCTGTTCACTCTGTATCAAATTATTTTAAGTTGTACAGCTTAAATTTCCTGGGATACTCTTAGCAGGTGTCTCCAAAAGCCTTACAAAAGCTGAGACACAACTCAAAGGCATTATCAAGCCTGAAAAATAACTTAGCATTAAAGCTTCTGGCAAATTATCACTGGTCCTTGCTTATACACTTTTTTGTCTTTTAGATGACTTATAAGTACTGAAAAGAATTTTTTGTGCTTTTATTCGGAAACTGAACTCATTAGGTACCATTAAATCATGAACAGGCTCCCTCCCCACCACAGAAGTAAAAAAATCCCACGTCATCAACAATTCACCCACTAGACTTAAGTTAGCAGTTATCTGTAATGATATTACTTACTTAGTAGGACAAAAGAACAGATTTATTATTAGTGTATTCTTGTCCTATTAAGCCTTTAATACCCACTCCTTCAAATCTATTCTCAGCTTTATATTTGATCATGCAGCTAAATACTTTTGTCTCCACTTTATAAATTAAAAAAAAAATGATTATATATTTGATGATTCTATATTATTTTCTATAATACAGAATTTCTATTTGCTATATTATTTTCTATTAGCAGAATAGTTAGGAAGGCCAAGGTGTCATTCATACAGATAAATCTGAGATCAGTCCTTTGTAACAGGAAACAGAAACAAAAAAAAAAAATAATATGCAAGTGTTGGCACAAGAAATTGCATATGGATAACATTAGAAACCTCTGAGGTAAATATTGCATAAAACATTAGAAGGTAGGAGCAGAAGTTTACTAGATAACATGTAATTTAAAAGTAATAATGAATAGAATACTGAAAAAATGTGTGAATGTTAAGCAGCTCAAGAGCCTACTACAATAAAACTTTATAATAAAATTTTAAGTGCATGAAAAATAAAAAAAATTATACAAGAAGTTTTGGCTAAACAAAAGATTAGTATCAAAATAAGCAGATTTTCCATTAAAATAATCATATATACATATTTCAGTGAAATTAGTTTTTTCTTCTAAAAAACAACTGAGTTCCTAGAAGCTGAGCACAATGTGGTATCCTATTTGGCTTTGACCTGATGATCTAATTTTTTAAGTGAAGAGACTAAAAAAATATTGAGAAAGTTTCACCGAGTAAGGTAAATTATAAAAAAAAATAAAGTCAGCCATTTGAGCATAAAAACATACATATAAAGTGTATTGGGTTTTAGACAGCAGACAATAATTTCTCACGACACTACAGAGTAAATTAGTCTTCTTCAGAAGTACTTACAGTATGTCAAAAAAAACCCCCACATATGGCCCCTAAGATAAGAGACCTAATAGGAGCCATAAATCAGTGGTCAACATATAAAGTCTTATCATAGAAATATTGTAAACAAAATACAACCAGGATCCCAATGATCTTTGGTATACCAGACTCCCAGGGAATCTCTTATGATGCATTTTATATCCAACTTAAGAGGGAAAAGAAACTGTTTAAACATTTTGCATTTAAACTATCATGAAAAAATCCAGTATATGCATATCATCACAGTTCAGAATGGTTCTTTTCTTTTAATAAAATGCTTGTGGCCAATAATATCAAATATTAATCGTTCTGGCCAAAGATCCACTTCTGGAAGGGGTCTAATGGATTACAGGATGCCAAACTCGGATGCTCTCCATTTCCTGTAAGGCACATATGCAGTGCTTCATTGTACAGAGTTTGATCCTAAAGTGAGGAAAAAAAGGAAGAAAAGTGAACAAACAATGAACATGCTAGTTCCCCCCACAGTTCTTCCCCCAAGCTGGGTGCTAAAGAGTAAGCTCATACAGGTGTTGTAGAGGGGGCTAGAAAATACACAGGTAGTATATAAGTGCCAACTTGCTTTGTTAGGAAAATTTTGTAAAATAATTTTAAAACATCTGAATATTTTAAAAACATCTGAATATACAGATGTACAAAATATACAAAGCATCTGAATTGACTTCCAGGTGGATGTCTAGATGTCTAGACAAACACACTAAAAGGATATCAACTGGTTTTTTAAGTGACATTCCTACTAGTGACATGAAGTTTTGATCTGCAACTGAAAAGCTGAAATTATGTCCATTTTCCTGCCAAAATTAAACTTACATTTTTTTGGCTTCAGAGTTTTTGCTTGTTGGTGTTTTTGCTTTTATTGAAAATCCAAAATTAACTAATAAAAATGCCATCTCACTGCACAGGATATGTACCTTCTGGTGCAGCCACTGCTCCTCCCCAACAGCAAAGGTTTTCTGGCCTTTGTAAGTGCACTCACGAAGCTGCACAGGTCCCTTGGAAGCATGCAGACAAAGCTCCTTCTGAATGTTATGGCGAATTTCGTGGTGTGCAGAATATTCAAAGTACTATTAAAATAATTTTAAAAGAAAATTTTGGTAAACAAACACAAAGAAAAGTATTAAACTAAATTAAGCCTTTCAAAGTCCCATACAGAAAGTAATAAATTTCTTTCCTTATTCAAAAATTTGAGACTACAGAATAATTCCTCTGATTTTTAGTACAGACACTTCAAAAGTGTTTACAAAACTAAAAGCAGTTTTTAGTAGTAATCCAATACTAATTTATACTTGTATGTGTAAATAGGAAATAACATTTGCTGCATGTGTACTATGATGTAAAATCTCACTCCCACACAGACCATATATAATTCAGAGACAAACTGAAGAGTAGATATAGTTTAAGATAACTTAAATTTTGGCATTTTTTAACTAAAAATCTGTATTCACTTCTGTTGCTAGATTTTCGTTTTTCTTAGAGCAACCAAAAAGAAAAGTTATCACATGAAACAATGCTGATTGCTGTATGCCAACTTTTGCTGCTTGATCTAAACAATAAATGTGAACAGTAGGATGCTGTTATAGCCTCTTGTGAGGTAACCATTAGAAAATTATAAGCATGTATTTTGTGAGCTCATTTCCTGACAACAGAGTACTCCTAAGGTTCAGCTATAATTCTGACCCTAACAGGGATTTACTTCTAAAAGTTACAGACAGAGCTGTCCTTTTACCCCTTCAGCCCTAACTTAACATCAGGTCTCTTCCTTTTTTCCCCACATTTACCAGCAGAGTCCCCAACATTACATCTCACTGCTACTGTTTCTTGCCTCTGGATGTCAGCCACCTTCATCATATTTTTCCTTTGAATATTAAGGCCAGGCTCAGTTACCCCCCCCCCTTGGCTTTCCATTTTCCAGTGGTCAGCAATCATCTCCTCACTACCCTGGAAACCATGGGAACAGCACTGAGGAACAAGCAGACTCTAGGACCAACATTAGTCCTCAAAACAGGTAGTGAAGGAGTGACCTGTTTTGTCATTTAGCTCTCAGACATAGTAATTTACTCTTTATCTGGTAATCTGACTTCATCTGTCCTTTTAGTTTTGGAACTTCAACATCTCTGTGAGCCCTGAAAATAATGACTTGAAAGCTATGTTTAGAACTTTATTAATTTTGGATACTGAGATGGGCATGTTTCCAGCCTCCAGTATTCTAACAAGGAAGAATAACACACAACTGATGTACAATTCTGAAAACTAGGTTCTCTTTTATATTCCCATTTCAAATATATGGATGAAGATGACAGCATGGGAAATAATCAGCCTACACTGCTGAAAGTCTGGTAAAGAATAAAGGAAACTGAAAACAGAGCATTGTAATGAGAAGGGTCAAGTAAGCAAATATGCATGTCTTAAGCATTATCAGCAAAATCAGTTCTCTGAAGGCTGGCATTTAAAGGGATTCAGACTGTTATTTTGTAGCAGGAGGGAAAACAAAAAACATAACACTTGAAAGAATAGAATTTTAGTATAGCCCAAGATAACTTCAGAGAACAATAGAAACATACAGCAGATCTCTTAATACAATGTCTTTCTACAGTGTTCCCAAATTAATGACTGTGACAATGTGAAAAGGCTAATAGTATTAATCCACAATCAAATAAAACCCCAAATTCAATCCTGTAAGAAGCTAACATAATAGGGTAGTTCTTAATCTAGACAGCATGCTATGTCTCACAAAAAATGATTAGTAAGAAGATATCACCTGACTAGGATTATGTGTCTCAATTTTCACAGTGCCATCAATGGATGTCTTTTAAGATTGAAAAAAAAATTATTAACACCCTCCCTCCCATAAGATAACAATTATATTTTAATAAAAAATTTTAGACCTTTGCTGACCTTTAATTATTAAGGATCACTTTTAAAAGCAACAGAGAAGTGTGCATTTCTGGGCAGGGAAGGAGATGTTCTTTTTGTTAGTATTACAGTAATGATGGAACGATTCAGTATCTGACATCTATGGCAAGTCATATTGTAGAAGGAACAGAGCAGCATGGCTGCCTCCAAGAGCCATGGACCCAAGAGAGCTCCTCTTGAACAAATGGAATCATATTATTCACTTGCATTAGCCAGCACAGGATAGGCCACTTGGACCTCACACTGTGAGGCTGCAAGCATGATAGGGAAGGTGGCTCAGGACACTTGGTCTCCCAGTGGCTGGATTCCAACCAACATCTTCCTTGACACTGCGAGTCCTGGTGACAGAGAAAGAAGCAATAGGAGGAAGCATAAGGAAAGGAAGAATTAAGAAGACAACACTTATAAGACAGGAGTAAGGGTGGCATGAAAAGGTTTTGCACAGAAAAGAGAAGGCAAGTGAAGCAGTGCAAGTGTGTTTGAAATCTGAATTTGTATATTGAAGTTAAAACATTAGAAACAGGACATGACATGAAGAGTGGTATGGAATTTTTCTTTAAATATATATATAGGAATTAACTGTTAAAGAAAATAAAGGAAAAAAGAGATAAGGAGAGAGAAATTGCATATAAAAATTAGTCAATTTCTCTAAAATTAATTTAAAGTTTTTATACAGAAAAGCTGCAACAGATGAAAGAATAAAAATCAGGTATTAAATATTTTACCTGGTTTCCTCCAAGTCCATGACAAGAATACATAATCAGTGGTTTGCCACCATGGTTATTTTCACCAACATCCAGACACATGCGGTTACCTATATTTTTTAACTAAAGAAAGGGTTTTGTCAGGATAAAAAAGCTCAGTGGAATGACAGAAACTCAAACTGTCTCAGTCAGAGACAAAAGTCACCTTTAGTTTAACAACAATTACAGCTGTTTGTTCACTTTTACTTTCTGCTATACTCAAATCTAAAAATCCTATTTCCTCAGGTAATCTTTACTAACTAAAAGCCTAGTAACTACTGTCACACATGGAGTTATTTATTAGCCTGCTCTGTACAATGTTACTGTGATTCAAATCACAGGTTGAACAGATACACATAAAATATTTAAAACAGGAGGAAGAGAAAGTTTTATTTGTAAATACATGCTAAAAATTCATGTTCACCTCAAGCTAAGAGCTATTACTTTGTTATAGCAATGCAATGTCTAAAGTTATTTGGCAGGGAAAATGACTTTTGACATAAATGAAAAATGAAAATGGCACAGCTATTGACAAAGCTATAAAAGGAATGCAGAAGAGATTCTTTGTCCAGAGTAGTGACAGAAAACCCTAGAGCAGTTGAAGATAGCTAAAGTCTAAAAGCTGTGGCTAAAGTAGTATTAGAGATTAGCAAACTTCCTGGACTTTGAGTAATATAGGAAATAATTAAAATTAAACTTACATATCCAGAAAACAAAGGATTCAGGTCTGGCACATATGCTTCTGGATAAACATTAGTGAGGTACCAGGTAAAATTTTTACACTGCAGGCGCTGCCTTAAAGCAATTCTTTTTGATATGTCTCCAAATGTTTTCTGTTTGAGGAAAGGAGGTAAAGAAGATGGAATATAAATATATTAACATTCATTTTGCACAAATAAAGCTATGATATTCTGTGTAGTACTAGGCAAGTTTTAAGCTTCATTTGTGGATTTTTTTCTTCTTAATGCTGTACTACTATAGTTACTGCTGTCTTTCAGTGTCATAACACCACTGACATCCTGCCTGCAGCATTTCAAAGCACTTGCAAGAAAAATACATTGCAAGATGGAAAACATAGAAGTATCTTTAGTCCCAAGAAAGTTTTAACAGTGCCATGAAGTGGGAAAGTGCAAGTAAGAACATAATGATTACAGCCATAAAGCCATCTGATCTCACTAAAAGTGTAAGCTGAAACAACAAACTGGATTAATAAAATAATTAGCATAATATCCAGTACAATGTAGAATCTCCCAAACAAAATTCAGTTGTTTAGCTGCTGGACATGCCTAGGAAATGTAACGCTTTCAGTGATACAACAGTCATAAAAATTTATCAAGTGAAGGGGGAAAAACAACTTCCAAAAGAAAACTAGATTCTAGCTTGGCAGAAAACTTACAAAATAAATAACCCAACACCCAACCTCAACCCCAAATATTTATTTACTTGAAAATAACTGACTTTTTAAGCAGATAGAGACAGGATGGTTGTCCATCATCAAGTAACTTTTATTCTGCTGCTAAAGAACCACAAAACCTGCTTTTTCAGTAAGAATACTAAGCAACTTGAAACTAACAAGACATTTTTCTCACTCCAGAAAATAAATTAGTTTACATTGTCTACACCCATTAGTTTTTCTCGTGTTCTTCTGGTAGTTCCTGTACCTGCACAATGCAAACAACCCAGGAGAATGTATGAAGAAAAACACTAATAAAAAAACCTCACCATACAAAATCAACATTCATCACCCAAACGCTTTAGGTTTCTTCATGTTTGTTGGGGCTGCAGCATTAAGCAAACTAAACAGTCTTTTCATTAAAATATCTAGAATCCTTACATACTTTGTCAATAAATAACTTTTGCTCACCAAAACTTTCACCGCAGCAAGTGTGATTTCTAATACCACCACCACCACCTACTTGTTTCACAATTTTTGCTGCCTCTGTGTTTCTTCGGTAAAATATTTCTTTATATTCATCCATCCACACTTCTGCAAGGCGAACTTGGTTGCGTGTGATCACCTGAGTACCTTTTGGGAAAGTATGGGGACTCTTGCTGCGAAAGACATGGCCAACAACAGAGCAAGGCATGATCTCCAACTGTCCACCACATTGCCATACCTAATAATAACATTTAGTGTGTAAGTACGCTGCAATTTGAATTCAGGGAGTGGAAAAAAATTCAGTAATATTATTGTTTGCCAGAACACATCAAACCACTAGCAAGAGTACGTATATCAGGCATACCATCAGTGAATTTCCTAATCATATAAGCTCTGAAAACACACATTTCAGATAGCAACCCTAAAAGCATTTAAAAAAAATTAAAAGCAGCTTAGTGAGCATGTTTGCATTTTATTTAATAGGTAATTAGTAATTCAATTTTCCTTGTCCTAGTTGGCTGATTGAGCAGAGGAGTCAATATCTAATACTAATTTATTCTCAAATCCCCTGTACACTGTCAACATAGAGGCAATTGCTAATTACGGAGCTAAACTTACTCTGAAAGACATTTCTATATTTTCACCTCCCCATATTTCCATTTCTTCATCATAGCTTCCAATGTGTTCAAAGTAGTCTTTTGATATTGAAAAGAGACCTCCAGCAAAAGTAGGTGTTCTGCAAAAACAAAATTTTACTGAGAAAGACAGAATGATTTTTTAAATATAGATGTAAAATCATGGTGCAACTGTTCTAGGAATTTTCCATGCACTTGTTAGTATTTCACTACAGTGATGCACATTCCTGGCATAGATAATACTTCTAGCACTTAAGTATGTTCACACAGAGTCTCATTTGACATCTTATTGCCATTTATTAAGAACTTGTTCAGGCTAAAAACTGCTGGCATAAAAGAAAGCATCAGGAAAACAAACAAATTTTCTCTGTACAGAGGAAATCGAGCAAAAGTACAACTCCTACAGACCAGTAAGCTGTCTGTGACAAAGCAGGTACAATTATCATCAAATCACTACAGGCGTTATCAGCCTGGTATTTGGGTGCTCTGACCCTTTTTGTCATTCTTTCCAGTAAAGTGAATGAGGAGACAGAATCATTGTACTGTCTCTGAAAATAACTGTGTATAATCCTCTTCTGCACCTCCCCCCTAGGAATACAGGTAATTTCCACTGTATGTAGAAGAAGTAATGCAGAGCAATTACTATCTTGATGAGGCTATATTTTTATGAATGCTTTAAAATGTGGTTCACAAAGAAAGTATTACAAAAAACATCTAAGATGCTAAGATGTCTGATTATACTCATCAGAAGAGCTAATTTATTTACAAACTATTGTTCACAAGATAAACTCTGTGAAGACAGAAGGACTAAAACAGTATTCAAATTAAATTTACCTAATTGGATAGGTTTCATCCTTTCTTCTTTTATTCTCATGTTTAGGAAGAGACTCCCATCCAAATGACAAACTCCAATCAAAATTTCCTCTGTTGTGGCTATGCCCATAAGGAGATGGTTTACTGAATTCAAAGGTATTGAGATCAATAGAAGCAATGTCAGGGCTTACAACAGCAACAGGATTCTCAGCAATTCTTGCCAATAATGGCTCTAACCAGCCATAAAAGCATTCACCTGTGGAGAAAATGGGAACACTGAATTTTTGCTTGGCTAGAAAGTACTACACAGGGTATATTTTAACATGTCCAGCAAGCCAATATGGACTATTTTTAAAAAGCATTGCTAATTATACTTTCAATAATATGAAATAGCAATAGGAAAGGTGATATATATTGCTAACATTTATAATCAATAAAACGTCTGCAACAATAAATTAAAGACAACAGCATTATAAGCCTGACCTGGCATATTTACAGGTTACACTTACAATGAGCATCCAGGAAGGTAAGGGTCTCTCCTGTTGCTACTGAAGCTCCCAACAACCGTGCAGTGATCAGACCTTTTCTTTCCTTCTGACGGACTACTTTAACTATTTGAAACTGTTTCACATATTCATCTAGTTTATCATGCAGGTACTCTAGAAAGAGAAATCAGTGTCAGGATATTCAGTGTATACACATAACACTGCCCAAAATGTTCCACTATTAAGTGAACAAGATAAACAACTCACACTTACCCCAGAAATTATCTCAACACCAAAGCCATAAAAATTCCTATCTGCTGAAGGTTATTTTTAGGGGCTGAGTATATTCTGGGGGTAGGGGTGTAGGAAGAGGTAACCAGCAGAGAACAGGAGATGGAACATTAAAATAATTCTAAACAAGAAAGGACGTGCTAGTACATCTCTGCTGCAGTGTCAACCATCTGAATACCAATTCCAGTTTCATAGTAAATGGATCTCACCCTTACATTATCTGCAGCACATGCAAATTCTTTCCTTAATGATGGCACATTTACACAGGTTTCAAAGGTTTCATAGGTTTCAAAGGCTACAGTATTTACAACAGCAACAGAAGCCATATAGAAAACTATTTAAATGTTCAGATTTTGAGAAAGAAACCTATGTCTCTCATGAAACATCCCACATCATCTTTTTTATTCTGCCCATTCTAAGTATTATCCTGTACTACTGAACACGCTTCACATCCAAGTGTTTCAATATACTCAATGCAGACTTGCAAAAAGGTGCAAATACATTAGTAGAAGTATGTATAAACACATTTATCTAAAGCTAAGCATACAAAACTTACATTTTGTATACACTAAGAATTTATATAATTATTTTTGAGACTCAGCTTGACTGTTGAAGATTATGTTGCCATTAAATAATTTTGCTTTCTAATAAAGACAGTGGCCTTCATATCAATGAATTTTATTTGCCTAAAGACAACCACTGTGATAAAATGCAAATTTCTACAAGTCTGGGCCAATTTATACTTGGATACTTTGTTCTACAAATTGCAATTGGTTTGAAACAAAAATTACAAAGCTACTTGTCATGAAAGCAGTTATGCAGGTAAATCAGAACTGGAAAAAAAAGAAAGTGGGTTTAAAAATCTTTTAGAGCACAGGAATTTCATATTTAACTACCTTATGGAAAAATGATGGAGAAGGGCTATTTTATATTAAAAAAAAAAAAAAAAGGAAAGAAACAAAACCACTTCAAATACTGTTATAAATGTCAATAGTGGGAAAGAGACCTTAGCCAATTTATCTGCAAGGGTAAACTTTTCAATTAAAAACAAAAGCAGGAAGACTTCTTACCATCTACACTGGCATCATCCACCAAAATAATCTCTTTCAGCAGTATGGCAGGAGATGTGTACATCACACTGTGGACAGTTCTGAGCAGAGTTGACCACGCTTCATTATGGAAAACGATGATAATGCTTGTGGTTGGCAACGGCGGGCAGCGCTTAAACTTTTGTTCAATACATCTACAAATTAGAAAGTGTCAGGGGTAACAAAATGGACAACAATTTCTTACTCAAACTCTTAAACTTTTCTTTCTAGTACAAAACTTTGTAATTATGGACATTACATAGTTCTGCTTTTCTGCTTTCTATCCTAGCTTTGGAGTGTAAAGGTAAGTACTTCAACTGAAGCAGAATATTTTTTTAATAACATGACTGAGAATTGAATAACTTAGCTTTGCTTCTGTCTCACACACATTTGAGTATATTTCATATAACACCCAGGCCTTCTTTAGGAAAAAAATATTATTTTCTTGAAAACAGCAGGTACTGACTGAGCTAACTCAAAAGTCACTATTACTGCTGAAACCTAAGAATACAAAGAAGAATATTTATTAGAAAAAAATCAGAGTTTGTAAGGAAAATATAACCTATCTAATTCAAATTTCAAAGCTCTGTATAAGTGCTATGTAAGGCTTAGGGCAGCATGTCCCATTCAAGGGATACAAGTTTAAGCCCATAGTTTTTCAAGACTGACATATCCCAAACATCACTTTAGATCCAATGAAAAGATGACAATTCTGTATTCATAAGTTGCACACTTAATGTTTATGGCCTGTCAGCTTTAGAGCCTGGAGGACACCCCAAGGTAATAACCGGAGTCATTGCCTCCCCAGTTATGCTCTAGGAGAGGTTATGGTGAGCTGCAGTGTGTATCAGCAGCAGCTCAGTAAGTTCAGCCACTTCTGGCACAGATGGCTGACAACATTTCATCTGACACTGAGAGAGACTGCTTGTTACTAAAACCCACTCTCCCAAGTCCTGCAGTCTACATTTAAAAAATTCTTCACTAGTATAAGATTGCTGCTGAGATCTTCCATTCCCTTGTTCAACAGTTTACAAATCCGAATTTATTAAATTATGCCTAAATTCCTAATTTATTAAATTAAATTATGTAGTTATATTAACACTGAATGGTAAAAAAATGGGGGGTGGTGTTTTAATTGGAAAAATGTTGAAACCACATTTTTAGTTTTATTCTAAGTAAAACTAAGCAGGCTTCCTGAAAGTTACTCAGAAATTTTAGCCTTAAAGGCAAAATCAGAACACCTTATTTAAATATGGTTACTTTGAATTCAAAACCATGAAAGAAGTGAGCTTTTCTAAACATTCTTGGCTTTGGCACTGTGGATCACTATGTACAGCCAATCATTATGTATAGCTAGGAGACTTTCCTAAACTATCACCCACTGCTGAACTCAAATCACTTTGCAGGCTGAATTCTGAGAAGTTTTTCAACTATCAGGACATACACATTTCAACTTACTCAGGAGGTCGAGTGTCTGGTCCAAGATCTCGGTGTAAAGAAATCCTATCACTTGCAAATGCATTAAAACAGTGTTTCTCTTCTCCAGCCTGTTTTTCTTTCTGTTCTTCTGAACTTAAGTTGATGGTTTTAAATGCTTTGCCAGATGCTCCAGGAGCATTAGGATCTTGAAGGGGCCGATCTAGAAAGGGTTTCAGTTCCACTGGAGTATAGTGCCCTGGCAAGCAGTGTCTTTGTCCAGGAACCTTAGTTTGCCTAATGGGTGCTTTTATCTGCATTTTTGGCTTTGCACCTTTGATATTGTTCATAGCGTTTAACACAAGACCTAACACGTGACTTTTCTTTCCAACAACTGGCTCAATCCCTGCTTCATCCTTAAAATCTTGAACACCCACTTCTCTTTGTAATAAAAATAAAAATACCAGAAAGACAAATACAATAATGCTAAACTTCCAAAGTTTCCAGTGAAAAAATGTCTTAAATAGTTTAGGTGTCTTTTTCAAGGCCATTCTAGTTTTAAAAATTTTCACACAGCAGAAGTTTCTGTGAGTGTTGTTCTTCAAATATGGCACAGCATTTCTTGAAATTATAACACCTGTAAATTAAAGCAAACAGTATTAATTGAGACGTCATCAGTATATTAAACTATGTAAAGCCGTAAGAAATTAATGGGAAGGAATTAATTCACAACTCCCAAAAGTCAAGTGTTATGCAAGCTAACACTCGTATCACTTAAAGACACATCAAACCTATCTATAAGATGCCCATAATGCCCTTTCCCTGCTTTTTGCTTTGGGTTTTATTTGTTAAATACATATAGAAGAACCAGAAATCAGGCACACCATCAAGAATAGAACATTATTTCTACATAGTGCCACTACTTCAAGTTTATTTGCTTCCAAGTGGTTTGTTTAAAATTAGAATAAAGTCTTATAGAGCAAGGAATTTTAGTTAAATGATGGGACAGAAGAAGAACAGGTGGCATCAATACATTAGTTCAAGCTACATGTCAGAAAGAGCCATGTGGAAAGTGAATTAAAATATAGGAAAGACTTTTCAATCAACTTATTTCAACAATTTTCAAGTTTCTGCCATTATTTTTTTCACATATAGTCATTAGATCATACTAAAAGGTACCAAAACCATGCTTCTCAGCTCACAAAATTTCAAAAAAACCAGTCCACTTCTGTGTCACGTATTATTTTCCCATTTTTCCTTACTGCTGAAACATTTGAACTACAATACCTTTATATGGAACACTACAAATAAAAACTTTCTTTCCAATGAAAGGATTGCAACCAAATTACCAAACTGCCAGACTGAAAAATGTCTTGTTTTCTCACAATGTCTGGTGGGTTGATCTTGACTGGCTGCCAGACACCAACCCAGCCACTCTCTTGCTTTCCATCCTCAGCATGACAGTGGGGACAAAATAAGATGGAAATTTACATGGGTTGAGCTAAGGACACTGTGATCACTTGCCGTAACTGTCACAGGGAAAACAGACTTGTAATGATGAATTTGAATTTACTGCCCATTAAAAATGAAGTAGGATGGTGAGAAACAAAGGCTCAAGCTACCTCCCCTGGCTTGGCTTCATTCCTTTATTCCCAATTCTTCTCTCTCCTTTCTGCCTAGTGGTCAGAAGGAATGAATAATAAGGGCTGTGGTTAGCTTGTAAGACTTGAGCACTGCTTCCTCTGCACACTTTTCCCCTGCTCCAGCACAGGTTCTGTCCAGTACAGTACTTCAGCATAAACTGCTCCAGCACAGGCCATCCATGGGCCACAGCTCCTGCCAGGATCTTGCTCCTGCATGGGCTCCTGCATGGGCTCTCCACAGATTTCTTCAGGGTGAATCCACCTGCTCTGGCCTGGGGTCCTGCACAAGCTGCAGAGTGGATTCCTCCTCTGGGGTGGTCCTTTCATGGGCTGCAGAGAAATTCTTCACTACAGTCTGCTCCATGAGCTGCAGGGGGAATATCTGCTCCAGTGCCTGGAATACCTCCTCCCCTCCTTCTCCACTGACCTTGGGTTCTGCAGAGTCTCACATTTTTCTCACTCCTCTTTCTCACAGCTGCTGTGCAGTATTTTTTACCCTTTCTTAAATACCTCATCACAGAGGCACCACCTGCTACACTGGGTGGCTCAGCTTTGGCCAACAGTGGGTCTATTCTACAGCTGGCTGGAACCAGCTGTGCTCAGCCCTCGATGAGACTGGAGGTGGGGGGCAGCCCCATGTCTCTTAGCACAGAGGCCACCTGTGCAGCCATCCTAACCTTGCCATGAAAATGCAATACACAACGTAAAGCACCAACTATATGTACAGATCAGCACTCAGCATTGCAGGGATACAGCCTCTGCAGGTTGCTAACCAGGAATGATTTCCTAACACCATCAAAAAGAAAATAATCACATTACTGTTTCTGAGTACACCATGCACAAGCACATAAGATACTAGTAAATCTGAAAGCTTGGAAATCAATAAGCAATATAAATATATCTTCCTCAAATGGAAAGAAAACATCTTCATATATATACCTCTATCTTTCTATCTATCTATTCATATATTTGAGATACATGATGCCATAAGAGGCATTAGAAACAGGAGACGTGAAGAATGCTGCCACAACACTCGTATGAAATGTGCCTGTCCCTAGAAAAGAACCTTCCCTGGAGTTAGGTGGGTTGTGGAAGACAGCAACACAACTTAACCCTTTCAGTGTGGATTAGTACTCTACCAGCAGGCCACACACAGAAACAAGTGCAAGTGATGTTTCTTTAAGAAAGGATCAAGTGACAGTCCTGGAATATTATATGCAGCAAACACCAGGTGGACAGAGGCTTGATTGCCACAAGCATACAGCAAAATCTTTTGATATAGACAAATGCTGAGTGTAGCATTGTTGACAAAATATCTGATAGGGATATTGCTTACAATAAGAGAAGACTTCTTTGTCACACAAAAGAGTAGCAGTTTCTAGAACAGAAGCTGCATTGTCCCAAGAACTTTTGCCATGAAAGCTGTATTTTACTTAGGGTTTTTACCAGGATAATTTTGTAGTCAGAAATACAATCTTTATTCCCCACAAATGCCTCTCACATTTTCATGGCATAGCCATGTGTCAGCAAACACAGACCAAGCTACTATTCACTCCTCCAGGACATGATGAAGAAATATGTGGCATGATTAAACTCCCTGGGGTGACTGTTTAGCAAAGCATTTAATCTTCTATTCATTAGTGTTATTTTCACTAATAGTAGTCTGGATTCTTACAGCATTTTGAAATAACTAGCCCTAAACATCTGAAGTTGGATTTTTTTTTTTTTTGGGAAGAAAATAACCAGAAAACTAAAATGTCCTACTAAATTCTTCTAAAAGTGCCAAAAAGCAGCTGCCACGCTACTTCAAACCACATCACATGGGCAGTGTGAGAATTCAATGCAGTCTATGTTACACTATGCCACCCACTGGTTCTGATGTCAGACTGTCTGCAAAAACTCTTACAAGAAAGCCTTGCTAATGTAGCCAACAAGTAGAAAACTCTGATTTTTTTGTTAGCTTGATCTAAACAACACTGTAGAGAATAATCTTTTATAAAAAAGTAAAAGTATTATTAACCCAAGTCAGCAGAAATTCTTTCCAGTCATGCAAGACAAAATTCATTGGGGTCAGTATCAAAGATATACTTGACCTCTGTGTTTTTACAAAAAGTATTTTAAAATCTACTTTTCTTCTTTCCGAATGTCAACCAGGTTTCAAATGTTTCCTGACAATATTGCTTACAGAACATAAACATCTAAAAGAGTAAGTAAAAATACTAAAACCAAACAAAAAAAAAGCTAAAAAATTAGAAACAATGGGTCAGAATTATTCTAATCAAAACCACTTAACTACATAACTTGGCTTCAACTTGATCAAATTCTTCTATAATTGGAGAAGCACAGTCTCAGAAAAAGTTTGTCTATTTCTACTTGTCATCAAAGCATACAATCCCTTCCTCAAACCTTAAGAGTCCCCTTAATCAGAAGGTGGGTGTGAATAAAAATACGGAGCAAATACTATAGGGAAAAAACCAAACAAACTTGACAATGATGATCAACTGCTCTCACCAAATCAGTGCAAGTCTGACAAAGATATTCAGGATATTTAACTGTAAGAAGTGCTACTTCCCCTACTGGCATTTCTGAATCTAAAATTCTAAACAGGGCTTTTTATTTTCTTTGCATGAGCATCAATGTAGGTGCTACTAAAACATTAGTTACTGAAATAATCAGTTTGGTAAATGATATTTTCATCTTCTACCACCATGGAAATTGATGCTTTTTTCTGTTGGCAAATAAATAAAAAAATAAATCACTGATCAAAACTGTTTGCACTTCCTAGAAGTTCCTCTCAGAGGAACATCCAATCACATAAGTGCCTTTGGTGACAGACTAAGAAACATCCAATTCAGAGTGAACCCTTCATAAAGGTCTAGCTTTATATGGAATATGAAGATTCTTCATAGAATAAAAACCATTCAGAAGCACTTCAGAAATTTGGGATAATTAAACAAGTTGCTGAAGTTTGGTAAACTGTGCTACTGTTTACAAGAATATTAGGTCATGATTTAAATAAAGGAACAAATGATCAAATGAAATGTACAGAAGTTAAGGACTAAAGACATGAAAATGAGAAACAGAATCAGCTGCTTAGTTTCTATCTCCACACTTGCTTATCTGTTTCAGTCGGTTCCTACTGAATGCACTCCTAATAGGGTACACATACCTAAAAGAAATTCACAAACCCCAGGTGCTGTTCCTCCGGGTACATTCTTTGAAGCTCAGTCAGTAGAAATGTGGTTCTATTCCTGAAAAAAAGTTGTTGAAGGAATTCTGCATGTGTTCAGTTCCTGAGCCTTCATTTTAGAAACATTAAGAGCACAGGTTATTCTAGCAAATACTGGATGTAACCTGCCTCATTGATCATGACAGAGAAAGGAGAAGCTGTACCTCTGGAGGAGCATGCTGAAGAAGCTGAGGAAGTTCTGAGCAACAGCAGCCCAGAACAGCTTGCTGAAACAAACTTGGTCAAGTATCTCCTTCAGCAGTTTCATTTAGATTAAAAAAAAAAAACATGAGGAAAAACCCTAAACAAACCATCACCAAACCTCCTTCTATGTATTCTGATGGAAGTGCTTCAAACTCAAACTTTCACGTGCTCTTTCAAAATTAGCACTACTACCACTTTTCTACAGCCAAGCACTGCATGTGACACGCAGAGACAGACAGCTCCCTTTGACAATTGACAGCATAGTAAAAATACACGGTAACCATTATTATAAAAATATTCATGGCTTATTTTTACAGACATGTAAATGACATGCACTTATCTCAAATTAAAATTTCACTCAACTCTGTATTTTCCTTTTTTTCCTTGGTCAGATTGTTTTGGCCCTCTGTTCAAATTATTTTAGATTGTCCCTAAAGATGCCATGATGAAAAGTGAGCATGATAGCAGCTGTAAA